ACAGCGACTTGTAATCCATTGAAAGATCAGCTTTATGTGAATTGGTTGCAATATGTCAATCAAAATACAGTTAGCTTGAAACTGCATCTCGCTAAAAAATCATCGTTGCCATCATCAGAATTGCGAGACTTCTTTTCGATAGAGAATTTTGTTATCGAAAATTACTTTTTGACTATGATTGGAAGATGCGCAGAAAACAAGTAGTTTGAAGCAAGCTCTGGACAACATAGAATCTGTTGCTCTTCAAATGATCTCCTTTGTTGTTGGTTAGCTTACGGTTTTGGAGTGTTTTGAAAGCCAAGAAGGGAAAGTAGTTGAACCCTAGTAGATTAATCATTCACTACTAAGAACATTCGATCTCCTTTATAAGCAGAACAGATAGGAGCTTGTTGGTTAATTCGCTTGTGTTTTGGAAACAAACATGGTATGATTGAAAATGCTGTCGTTTTGACATTTTATTATTTCATCTCATATGTGAAAAATTCGAAGTTTGTGAGTTCATAATAGGAAGAACTTCATATCAATATCTGGTCTCATAATTGCATAAAGATAAGCGTAAGAAAAATAATTACGGAGTATAATGTACAACCTTAGTTCATCATTTTGAGCTTCTGTAGTTATATGTTTATAAGCGAAGGCAACCCGTTTTTGGATTGTACTCTAATAGCTTTGTTCTTCTCGCTCTTGCTACTTGCGCATCTTAAATCTCGTCGTTTTGATATCTGCAAGCAACTGTTTTTTTTCTTCTACCGTTTGTATTTAGAGCAGAAAGCTAATCAGATGATGCCCAGAACGGTATGCTCAATGATCATTCACTTTTCATTTAAATTTCAGTCTCTTGTGGACTACGATGAGTCAGATTCTGACGAGGATGAGAACAGTGCGCCTAACGACGCGCTGCCGTCATCGTCTACCGGTAGTCCAGTTTCGACCCAGCTTGGTTCCACCACCGAATCCGATGGTACCACCCGAGTAGAATCTACGAATATCGTCCCACCATCGCCGTCAGGCGATCTCTCCCCTTGCGATGATGACGTCTCATCAACAAGCGGCGAAGAAGAAACAACTTCTGGCGGCGATATGTTCGTACGACGAAAGCGACCATCTTGTAGCGATTTCGATGAGGAACTAGCTAAACGTAGTCGTACCTCATCATCTTCAGAAACCTAACCTCAGAGAAACTGCCGTTTGATCGTTAATTCATGGGTGACTGCAAAATCACCGTACTCATTGTTGCTGATCGTTAACAGTTGTATGTGATATGTGGATCTGATTTTTTCTTCTTCTTTACTAGGATGCACTTTTGTAAATAGGTCTGCTGTTGAGCTCAAGTTGATGTTTCAAGTTTATTCCTTCCTTCCATTCTCCCCCCGGTTGGTTGCATTTTGTTGGCATAGTTTGCTTTTAGGTATCGGGTGCGCATTGAGAACGAAATTGCTGGGTTGATCACTTCCAGTTTTGTGCTCTCTACGTTGTCTCGCGATTCTTGTGCCTCAATCTCTGTTTCTGCGTTTTTAAAGGCTGGCCCTCAATTGTTACCTCTTAAAAGGGCGTGGTAACCCAGGCAGTCACTGGTTCGCCCTCTATCTAATCAAACTATATTATGAGATCAGTTATCGTTCTCAGTGTGAACCATAG